AAATAGGTGCAGATCTTCATTTTTGTAAACAGTTTGTTTTTAGCAGTAATTTAATGCTGGGCGTGTCATCGTGATTGACAGCTGTGATTGACAGTTTCTCAAAGCGCGGCGTCTGAGCTTCGGCAGGAGACTGAAGTGTTATTATTCGATTTCTGTGTTATTTTACCATGACAAAATGAGTTCAGCAGTAAACTATAGTTTCTGGCATACATGATCCTGGTGGAACACTGTTTATTCGCTAAGTTCAGGGCTTTTTTCGGGCTTTATTAGTTTGCTGATACACGCCTAGCCACCCAGATAGCAAAACACAGTTCCGGCTAGATTCTCGCCTGCCGGAGACTTATCTCTTAGAGCTCAGACTGACTAATGTTACCTCTGCTGGACCTACTCCGGATGCCTGGACTCACTGCCCGATTCCAGTCCGAGTCAATCGAGCCAGATGCGGCGGCCGAGCGAGCCGGTGCTGCCGCATGCGAGCCGGAATCAGCCCGCGACGCCGCGAGTAAGTTATGCGCTGCGGCCTGGAGCTGGCGCGATTGAATATATAAAACCCTCATATTTGTTAACGTTATTACATCCATTTGTGTTGATATGACAGCAAACGCATGCTGAGAAGTTCGGGGGGCGTGGTTGATTTTACATAAAGCGTTTGATTGGAAGCTCGACTCTGCTCATTTTCGCGGCTCCTCCTCTGGCTCCATCAGACAGTCCTTCTGCGCATGTCTGGCTCCAATTTCAGCAGTCTTTTGCGACAGTTTGTGCCCGTCAAGCAGGCGTTTTGCCCTCAAGGCGTTCAATGGGAAAAAGGGCTGTCGCGTCGTCCATATTTTTTACAGTCATTGGTCCAAACACATGAGCTATAGAGGAACTGATCAACTACACTGGCACTAGTGTATGAGATTTTTTTACAATAAAAATTGTAATCATAATAAAAAAAAATAGATTTTAAAAAGCAATATTAATATAAAAACATTAATTATTTCATTTAAAATAAAATTTATATACTTAAATGACATAACAAAAAAACACAACAATTAATAATAATACAATTTTTAAAAATTATATTGAAATAAATAAAAAATATATAATTAAAAAATATATTAAAATCCCAATTTAAAAAAACTTACTTATATTGGTGAAATATTTCATTTAAAAAAATAAATGAAAATACATTTTTATGTAAAAGCAATTCAAATAAAATACTGACAACTATATTTTATTTAAACTAAAAGGAATACTTTGAAAATAAATTATTATAAAAAAATTAAATCACTAAATATTTTATATAAATACCACCAAATATCACTTGGGAAATATTTTATTATGTTATTTAATAAAATAAATATTTTTAAAATAAAAATAGTTCAATAATAAAAATATTGGGGCGACACGGTGGCTTAGTGGGTAGCGCTGTCGCCTCTCACCAAGAAGGTCGCTGGTTCAAGCCTTGGCTGGGTCAGTTGGTGTTTCTGTGTGGAGTTTGCATGTTCTCCCCGTGTTGGTGTGGGTTTCCTCCGGGTGCTCCGGTTTCCCCCACAGTCCAAACACATGCGCTATAGGGGAACTGATCAACTACACTGGCCGTAATGTAGGAGAGTGTGTGTGTGTGTGTGTGTGTGTCTGTGTGTGAATGAGTGTGTATAGGTGTTTCCCAGTGATGGGTTGCAGCTGGAAGGGTATCCGTTGTGTAAAACATACGCTGTACAATCCACTGTGGCAACCCCAGATTCATAAAGAGGCTAAACTGAAGGAAAATTTAAATATTTTTAAAAATAAATGCAATTAACCAACCAAAACTCTTACCAAAACAAGCTTAAATATATGAACCTAAAGTCTACATTATCTTCAATAATAAGCAAGTTTACGCTCTAAAAGATACAAGCACACCATATAAAGCTGATTAAAGCTGGAGATTTCCCTGTCAGATTAGAAACCGCTGGACGATTAATGAGGAAACCACACAATTATGATTGCATTATGAATCTGTGCTTCTCAGACGGTGACGAATGTTCAATGATTCAGTTAAACGAGGAAACTTTTTTTCTGGATTTCCCAGAATCACTAACTCTGAGTTAATCTCATAGGCGTTTGGCGGAGAACAAACCTCATTTAACCAAACCGTCACATCAAGTCTGTAAACAGCCAATATTCACAGAATTATTACAGCAGATGAGGCTGAAGAGTATAATAACACATATCTCATAACATTTAGCCTTTATTCTGGAACTATTTAGACAAACTATTAAGAGTTTAATGACAATATATTTAATCACAGCTCACTGACTGAGAGCTTCAGAAATCACGTCAGAATTGCAGATCAATTTATGTTCAATTAATAACTTCATTTCAAAACAATATCTAAAGTCACATCATAAAACATCGTTGTTAATTTGAGGTGGTTTTAACATCGAGGTAGTTTACGTGTGTTGTAGGGAAACAAAATCCAGTGTAAATTAGTCATTTGGAATTGAAGCTTTCAGATGAATAAAAATGCTCTTATATTATAATACTTTTTGTGTTTATATTGCTGGTCAAAAAGGTGGTCAATAATTTTGTGACAGCAAATTAATGTGCAATGTTGATGTTTATTGAGGTCAATGTCAATTTAACGCTATTTCGATATTAAATCAATGTATAAAAGCATTGTACAAACCTTGTATATCTTTTTTTGGTATATTATAATAAAACATTTGAGGCATAATTTTGTGCCGTCAGGTGCCAAACCGCTGGATGTGTTCCTCCTGCAGGACACTCTGCTCCACACCGTCAGCAGATCTCCATTCTTCAGAGATATCATCCTGACTGTCGGCAGATTCAGCTTCTCCATCTGGAGAGAAGGACTCACCGTCAGTATAAATATAAACTATATAATTACTTTTAATGTTTAATGTTCAAAGTAATTTACATTTATGTTCAATTTAATTCAGGTTTATTTATTCAGTTCAATTTAACCGCCAGATACATCAGAATACATCAGAAATTGAGGCTCTTGATCCCAAGATTATCCTGCAATATATGTGATATCAAATATGGGTTGGCACTAAAGTAATCTAAATGTACCCCTAATCTAAATCTCATCTAAATAATAACCCTAACCTTAACCTAAATGTAATTCTAAAGTAGTCAGATTGCATTACCAGAAAAAGTAATCCAAATGTAATCTAAATGCAGTCAAATTTCATTGCCATAAAAGTAATCTAAATGTAATGCAAATGTATTCAGATTGCCGTATCATAAATGTAATCTAAATGTAATCCAAAACTAGTCCAATTTTACTTCCAAAAAAGTAATCCAAATGTAGTCCAAATGTAGTCAGATTGCCATACCATAAGTAATCTAAATTCAAATCTTGAAGTAGTCAGAGTTTACTTTCATAAAAGTAATCTAAATGTAATTCTAAATGTAATCCAAAAGTATTACGATTTTACTTCCATAATAGTAAATTAAATGTAATCCAAAAGTAGTCAGAGTTTACTTCCATAAAAGTAATCTAAAATTAATCCAAAAGCTAAATGTAATCCAAAAGTATTTAGATTGCCATACCATAAAAGTAATCTAAATGTAATCCTAAACTAGTCCAATTTTACTTCCATAAAAGTAATCTAAATGTAATCCTAAACTAGTCCAATTTTACTTCCATAAAAGTAATCTAAATGTAATCCAATAACTAAATGTAATCCAAAAGGATTAAAATTGCCATACTATAAAAGTAATCTAAATGTAATTCTAAATGTAATCCAAAAGTATTACGATTTTACTTCCATAATAGTAATCTAAATGTAATTCAAAAGTAGTCAGAGTTTACTTCCATAAAAGTAATCTAAATGTAATCCAAAAGCTAAATGTAATCCAAAAAGATTCATATTGCCATACCATAAAAGTAATCTAAATGTAATCCTAAACTAGTCCAATTTTACTTCCATAAAAGTAATCTAAATGTAATCCAATAACTAAATGTAATCCAAAAGGATTAAAATTGCCATACTATAAAAGTAATCTAAATGTAATCCAAAAGTAGTCAGATTTTACTTCCATAAAAGTAATCTAAATGTAATTCAAAAGTAGTCAGATTGCCGTACCATAAAAGTAATCTAAATGTAATCCAAAAGTAGTCAAATTGAGATACCATAAAAGTAATCTAAATGTAATCCAAAAGTAGTCAAATTGCTATACCATAATAGTAATCTAAATGTAATCCAAAAGTAATTAGTGTTCGCTACAATAAAAATAAACTAAATGTAATCCAAAAGTAAATGTAATCCAATAACTAAATGTAATCCAAAAGGATTTAAATTGCCATACTATAAAAGTAATCTAAATGTAATCCAAAAGTAGTCAGATTGCCGTACCATAAAAGTAATCTAAATGTAATCCAAAAGTAGTCAAATTGCGATACCATAAAAGTAATCTAAATGTAATCCAAAAGTAGTCCGATTACATTACGATAAAAGTAATCTAAATTGAATGCAGAATCAGTGAGATTACCATAAATATGTGGCACTATATAATGAACAAAGCATTTTGTCATGTAATCTGGAATCAGTACCTGATAAGTGACCCACAACCTGAGTGTTTTGTGTGTCTCCTCGTCAGTGTGGGCCGCTGCTGATGTCGGTGTACTCTAAGTCGATGTTCTCGGCGGGTCACTGGTCTCGGTCGCGGCCCGCTGTGCTCTTCATGGGGAGGGAGGATGGAGATGTGGAGGTGTGGGACCTGCTGCAGAACAGCCGACAGCCTTCACACACACAGAACATCAGCACTGCCGCCATCAGCTGCATACGCACACAGACCAGCTCCGGTAACACACACCCATACACAGAAACACTGCACACACACACACACACACAGCCGCCATCAGCTGCATACGCACACAGACCAGCTCCGGTAACACACACGCATACACACAAACACTGCACACATACACACACACACACACACACACACACACACACACACAGCCGCCATCAGCTGCATACGCACACAGACCAGCTCCGGTAACA